TAGCAAGAGAGAGGGGCAATTTTCTCCATGCACCTGCTAGAGGGCAGACAAGTGTCTAGCTGTCATTGTGGTAGCTTGTATGGGAATGGGGAACAGGAAGGGGGAGACCTATTGTTGAAACCTGATGGAAAGGAAAGAGGAAGAAAAATATCTAGTCATCCAAACTTATGGAAGGATGCCTGAAGGAAAAGAAAATGGAACAGTAGTGCTTATTTGGAGATCTGGAAAATCATTTTAAAATTTTCTGAATGACCTTTTCCTTATACATTTTTAATAAGTTTTTATTTGTTATTACCAAAGCTCAATTCAGGACATTATTGCTAGTTTCAAAATGAAAAAGGACAACTGAAAGAAAGATTAGGAAAGTTCAGATAGAGTGGATATGGAAGAAAGGGTTCAGGCACATGGAAAGTTTCTGCCTGAATTCTGCTAAATTTAAGGAAAAATTTTAGCCTCAGCCCAAAGTTTAAATAAGAAAAAGCCTTGGATACCAAATCACTATAAACTGGATTCAGCTTAGTTTCAGATGAGGTCTGAGGAGATTTTGCTGCTCTTCCCAAATTATGCCTATGCACACGAGCCCTTTTCCAGATAAACCTTTTTGCTTGAGCTTTAGCCAGTTGGCTAGCTTGGTGCTCATTTCCTTTATGAACAATTTCTGACCTATAACTGCTTGACCTTATGCACTGATTGGGTTGAGTTTAAGGGCATTTTTATTTTACTAGTCGAGATCTAACAGCATGCTGTCCATGGACAGAATTGGATAGCTTTCTCTTCTAAAGAAAAAGTAAAATTTTTGCAAAAATAAGTGAACAGAATGTCAGAGAAAGTTTTGTCAAAAGGACAAAACATTGGATGCTAAGGAATACATGCATAAAATTTCACCATTCACCATTCCAGTAGTTTAGTTTCTAGTGCTCTAACACGATGGCTCCCAAACCTTTCACTCGCATTGAACCTTCAAGCATCCAGTAGCTCACAACCCACCATTTGGGAACCACTGCTCTAGCAGACACATGCAATGAATTGCAATACAGGGCATCCAAAAAATATTAATACAGCTTTAATCTTTAATAAATCATGAACAAATGAATATATATGTGGTTTAAAGCAAACGAGCGCTTGATATTTCAAGCTTTATTACATGCATTTAAAATTTAAAAATAAGTCGTTAAAGCTATTTTTCAGCTTATCAGAAGTGAAATGGTGACTCCACAAGAGAAGGCGAGTGTGTATTGTGGTTTGCAGAGTTGAAATCAGTCACACAGGCACAACACAAGTTCAAAACTGTTTACAGCAACAATCCCTTTGTTCATGTAGGCCCTACACTTTCCCATTCCCATACACGTTCAACATTGGATACTGATGCTGAACGTGTATGGGAAGCCTTTGAAAGCAGCCCAAGATGGTCTGTGTGCTGTGCTGGTAGAGAATTGAAGATGCCACCCTAGTTCTTCTCTTTCAGCAAACTACCTGTGTCCTTAAATTGCTTCATCTATTGGTATGTTGAAACATGGACAAGAGGATCCTTGCTGTAAACAGTTATGAACTAGAGCTACACCTGTGTGACCAACTTCAACTCTGCAAACCACGAGCATTTGCCTTCTCTCGTGAAGTTGCCAAAATTTTATTTAAAAAACTTGAAATATCAAGCTTTCATTTGCTGCAAACATGTGCATTCATTTGTTCATGATTTATTAAAGATTAAAGATGAATTAATCTTTTATGGACACCCTGTAATCTGTCATAGTTTATGCATTTTTTCACATGCACTCAATGGCTTAACTCAGTTAAGTGAACTTTCAGCCAACCTCAACCTGGTTTGAATCTAAAGGCAGTTCACAAATAAAAGAAATAGAAAAAAAATCATTCCCAATAACAATATGTTGAGCCCCACCCAGATAATCAAACATATGGGTACTTACCATTCATCTACCACAGTCACTTCCTCCTAATCAGAGTTCTATGACAAGTGCTAGTGGGCTCCTCTACAAGAAAGACTTTGAAAAATCTATGCAAGTTTTCATGAACTCAAGGAAAAATTGTGAATTCAACTTGAATCAGACCCCAGGGATAGTGATTCTGGCCACATTCTTAAAGCCTCCATTTTCTTGATCAATACAAGACAGAAAAAAGTTGTCACATTCAGATCTGGACTTCCTGCAGCAATGTGCAGTACAGATGATTGTCAAGAAAAACAAACAACTTATGAATGATTCTCAATTTCAGTTTCATTTTTCTATAGAGGGCCAAGAAATGCTGATGGGGAAATTTGATTAGTCAGGGAGAGTATATATTCTCTTTGCAATTTCAAATGGGCATACCAAGCAAACTATTCATAGCAGAACTGTAATTGGTTGGAACATGAATGGGACTGTGGGGAAGATGCATTTATTGCCACTGGAAACAGATCCCCTCCAGTGGTGTGTTCCCTCCAATCACTACAGCTCTATAAAGCATAATTTGCATGGGATAGCCCTCTGAAAATGGCAAGAAAAACTTCATATTAACCCTTTCACTGGCAGATGGAAATTTAAATAATTTTTACTTTAAATTTAAATCAACCTCCTACTGGAGGTATCAATAGAGTAGGCATTGGTGTCTCTTGGGTGTCAGGAGATGCCAATGTCAGTGAAAGGGTTAACCATGTACATGGGCATACCTCACTAATATGCTGCAGTAGTCAGGGTCAGAAGTTAGAGCAGCAGCAGAACTGTGTTTCCTTCTTCCATTTAATCTCAAGACACTTGCAGCAGAAGTTCGGAAACATTCCCTCAGCCTCAGTTTACTCACTAAACATACTGCCCTAGATAGATCATGGGAAGTCACTAAGAGGACAGGATTCATAATTCACAGTCTTCACCACTGCAGATTGGGGCAATAAAAAAATATATAATGTTCCCAACGTGTGATAATCACAAAGACTGCCTTTTTGTCACCATATCTATGTGACACAAATAAATGTCACTCGAGTTTACAACACTTCGCAACTCGATCCTTTTGGCCATTTTCTGAGGATTTTCCCAAGTAAAATATTCTCCATTTTCAGAGTCAAACTTTTTTTGCAACTTCATAGAATGGCCTTCAAGTGATCATACACATTCTGCATCCTGTGTAAATTATGTGTCCTATGAAAAACTTCAGACTTAGGTTGCAGTCAGTGAACCACAAATTTGTACACCAACTCCCCTTTTCCTGCAATGAAACCTCATAATGATATTTGATTCACAAGTAACTGGAACTTCCTTTGGTATGTGAAACAATTTGATGATTTGAACATTTTTGCAGATCCTCTCAAGGTTTTTAATATTCTGGGACAGGAATGCAGTAACAGCAGCACAGTGGTCCCCCAGGGGAGGATAGCCTACAGTTAGCTTCCTGGCAACCAATCAATTGTACTGACTCATTTGCATCAAAATTTCAGAAAATATTACAGAAAGATATTTTCTTTATTTCAAGGAAGGCCATTATACAAAAGTGATCAAAAAAATATTTGTATGTGCTGTTGAACCCTTGCAACAAAAATAGAACAAAGGAATCAAAACATGATGAAATGATGATTGAAATATCATTAAAAGAGGGACAAAAACATAACAGCAAGTGAAACCACTTTAAGCATAAAAATGTTGGTATCTCTGTGGACTCCACAAAGGTGTAGAATTAAGGAAAGAAATTAATCTGGCAGATCCTTCTTTTAACAAGAAAAATTGGAGATGGAGAACAACCTCCAGAGCATTTGCTGCAGGATATATTAAAAATAATTCCAACAATAGTAAGCAAAAATTCAATTTTGATAGCATTAGGATATGAGTAAAGGAGGTGCTCTGTGACTTCAGTAATTCTGGAGTACTTATCAACAAGAACTATATGCCAACAATCAAATTTATTATATTTGTTTTTGCTTTTTTTCCTAAAGAGAACATATGTAGTAGACACACAAGTCAATGGAAGTTTTTCAATTGCAATACATAATCACAAAGAGGAAAGGGGAACTTGCTTGGCATAGGCATCAGAACTGATATGACAACCATTCGGGCAAGAATGGTCTCCCATGATCCTGTAGGATGAGGCCCTACAGTCAGTCCACAGGTTGCTTCACCCATGATTGGCAAGAATGACATTTTAAAGTGTACAACAACACATTTCCTAGATGTGACATGAACGATGTGTTACTCCAGTATGCAGTAGATACTCCTCAGAAACCAGGCAAGTCACCTACCAGCAATGGGAAGTGTGTCACTTAGACCTTTTACTCCACCTCCTGGAGTTAACTGGTAGTTACTTCCACTTGGCTACTGAACTGTTAGAATGATAGGATTACAATAACTTAGTAGCATGACTTTTCCTCTCAGATACTGTTCAGATTTTGCTGCAATGGATAGTTCAAGAAACTAGCACATCCAGTAGCACAAAATACTGAGTAGAATGTACACTTTAACACTTTGTGGTTCATTTTTTTTAGAACGCTATGACCAATGGCTCACCCAGTGGGACAAAGGACTGCAAAGGGTTAATCCCTGTAAAATACAAACAGATACAGGACCTTCAACTCTGGCCTTTAGTACTGGCAACTGCTACAAATTTACCAAAGGTATAGCCCCACATAAGTGTAGTGAGATGCCATGTGAGAGAATGCTTTAGTTCAATGCTAGTTGAAACATGCATTCATATACGCAAGTACATTTGCAAAAAATATACTTGTGCAAGGTTATCTCTATAGATGACACATGTCCAGGAGAGCTCTTACATAAAAGAGGGTGCCTTTCACTTTTTATGCTGGTTCTAAATAACGTATGGGAATGTCTTGGAACTATCATGCACGCAAACTTGCATGTGTAAAACCACCCAGTTAGCTAGAAGGGAGATCTAGCAACCTCTCAGCCTTAATGCAGGCTAATAACAAGATGACCTAAAAGATCTGAGTAAATCCATTCATGGCCTGTGTGCAAGCATGTCAAGGCCATAAGTTTTCCTTAACCTGAACCCTGATAGAGCAAATCAGGACATTTTTTTTTTTGGCCTGGATTGACAGTGTGATAGAATGTAGTGAGTAGAGGAAATAATCCTGCAAATCATGATCCCTGTTAATCCTACAATGACATCAAACATTCACCAATATTTTTGTTCTATGATAATTTGTGTTGCTTCTGTAAAAATTTGGCTGAAATCCATTCACTAGCTTGATCTCTACGTCCATTTCTACGAATGGATGCAATTTCCCATGTCTGCAGGCCAGGAAATATGTATGTTCTTGGGGTAAGACGCTTCACAAAATGTCAGGGGAAGAGTTAAAGAGGATTCAATTGCAGGTTCAACTGCAGGAGGATTGACAAGATACAAAAATATAAGTGAAACAACTTTCAATTTTACTGTCCATAAGAAGCTCACCTCAAGTACATTTAAATTGCAACCAATGGTAGTCAAATGCCCCAAGATGAGCAGATGTCATTTTATATGGATCTTAGATCAAAGTCTTATACATTCAGGATGAATCTGATGTAATATGAGAAGGGAACAAAGAAACATATCAATACAAAAGCAAATCAAAATATTCCTAGGTAAAACCATCAAGAGGTATGGAACTTTTGATCATTGCAATTCAACCAATTCTTTAATGGAATACATAGAGTAATTATTGGTACAAGAAAGTTGTAAAAAAAATTCAACATATCCAGAGATCCATAAACATTGTATGGAAATGTTTGAAGAAAAATCAATTCTTGAAAGAAAAAGCATTAGAGCAGGACACAAAGTCACAGACTTGAAGCTCAGGAAACTGGCATTATGCTCATACTAGACTCACCAAAGCAGTGTAAAACTGCTCATAGCATCTATTGCAGTCCCTTCTATGCAACAAAAGGCTTTTTAATTGCTAAATTTCCAACTCCAGACCAAGTTCACTTGTTTGTCAAGAGACTTTGTCACATGCAATACGCCAAGGTAATTATTCAAAACGCTGCAGGGATATCACATGAAATCACTTTCTCTGGGAACCAATTAAGAGGACCCAGTACCATGTATACTAATGTGGAGAGGTAGGTCTTAGCCAAATTTATATTTGACAAGACTATCACATAATCCCACCTCAAATCAGAGCTCCATGATTATTGATGTGACACTACAATGTCTGATTCATTGAGGAAAACAAGCAATTCTTCTGAATGCCTTTGTGACACCATACTCTACTGATAATAATAATGCTGCAACTATTAAATGCAGCTTTAGGGGAAAATTTCTCAAACTCAAAATAGAACATTCCATTGAAAACTGCTAAGCATGGCCACTTATATGTATGCATAATATATTCCATGAAAACTGAAATGAAGAGTTTGCAACAACATTGAAGGACACACCATCAAAGTCTTCACCCTTACTGTTTCCTCACCAAACATGTTTCACCACAACGAAATTGGCAGACCTGCAGGATTTTCACAAAGCCAATTTTTCAGCTTCATCAATTGAACTGCTGCATATAAGTTCTTCAAAGCTTTACTCTATTTATTATTCATCTATGTTCACATCTCAGTCTTCTTCTAACCAAGGGCTATATTGACCCATACCAGTGTGGCAGTCACTTCACTTTCATTGGGATGGTGGTTGTCTGTCATAAGGTGTCCACATAATGGACATTTCAATGTGCACTTAATGGTAAGGTGCATAAGCATGAAGAACCCACAAGGACAATGCATGTAAAGACAATACATACATATGAAATGCATTACACAGGCATGCAAGTAATGCAGTAATTTTTTTGCAATGCAGGATATTTTTTGCAGTTTGAGTGTGGTTGCCTGAAGTTTAAGAGAAAATCAAAATTTAGAACTGTCTCACAAATTGGTCACCCTAGGTGGTGGTGGGGAATTCATTCCGAGTTGTCTTGCCTCAGGGAGATTAAAACCTCCATGCATTACTGTTTTAACCAAATGACATAATTCCAAATTAGATGAAGAGATTTCTGTACATTGGTGTACCTTAGATGATGTTCATTTAATAAATGGGTACCAGCCAGGGATGATACTTTTTTCATCAGCATGGAGAAATGTTTCTTATCTAAACATTGAAGTAAACTTTAATGATAAGATAATCAGCTTTTTTCTGATCCAGGATGCCAATGATACCATGAATAATATCACAATAGTGACACCAACATGTCTCCCACTTGAGCAGAGGTACAAAACTGGTGACATTCTTAAGAGCTGAACAATATCTTCATTAACAGACTGAATGTCAAAAAAGGAAATAACATCACAGATACTTTCCTTCGGTGATTATTTACACTTGCACTGACTAAATTCACTTGTTCTTGAGCTCCGCTCTCAGTCGTTTTGTGGCACGGCCAAAGAAGAGTCCTCCAAGGAATATAAAAGCAACAAATACAGTCAAGACAATGAGAAAATAGCTGCGTGAGGGTGAGGACCATGCCTGATTGACAAGCTCTTGAACTGTTTCCACAGCTATGGGTGCCACCTGAGAAAAATAATATTTAAAGTGAGTATCAGGGGAGAATAAGAACAGCTGCATATGTATGAAGTCAAACATTTTTCTTCACCTTGGCAGCATACTCAAACATTGCCTTCCGACTTATCAGCTTCTCACTACAGGGACTGGACAAATGTTCTTGGTTTTCATCCAAGACATTCAATAAACACGACAGCCCTATCAAAGCATGAAAAAGAATTAAATAAGCCTCATTTTTCACCTGGGCACAAAATCTTGACAAATGACAGAACAGCTTTCTAATGTTAGAACAAATTGGGAGGTATTCCAAATAACTTACATCTACCCCGTCCATGATCAATTCCTGGGCAGTGTGAATGAATATCTTGAGAGCAGGCCCGATACAGGATAGGATCTGCCATGATGTCAGCCTCGCCTGCTTCAACCAGTTTAGCTACCTCTTGCTTGCATGTATCATTTATGATGGCATGCTTCACAAACTGTGCTTTCAGGCACTCCTCTATTTCACCTTCTGAATATTCCTCAAGTTTCTGTGCTCCATTTATGCACATCTTGATCTAGAAATGCGCACCAGTATTACAAGACAGGCAAAAAGACTTACATTAGAAATGAGGAACAGAAACAGAACAATGCAACACAGATTCCTGATGGCACTTGGAATCATACCTCAAATTTACAAGCATTCATGAGAGTAGGATTTTGTCTGATATCCAATGCCGATTCCTTCATGAGATTGGCCAGTTCTTCCTCACATGAAGGTCGTAGCTTCTTGGCAATGAGTTGATCTCTCAAGCAAGCAACCATCTTTCCCTCTGAGAATTCAATCTAATTAGGAGGAATTCAAATAAATTCATGGCGAGTAAAAGCTACTTTTCTACACAGAATAATCATAAATTAAATGCATTTCAGAAATGGAGGGTAATGGATGAACTAGGCATTCTCACCTCATTGAGAATGACTTTGGCACAGAACTTGGTCATCTCTAAGTCACAGGCCTTATGAAGAGAAGGATTGAGCCGAATGTCACTGCTCCTTTCAATCATTCGAGTTGCAATGATACGCTTGCATTTCTGGTCAAAGTTTACCCACTCTGCAGTATCCTTGTGTGACTATAACAAGAAAGGGGGAAAAAATGAAAAGAACATTAACCCTTTGTGGTCCTATGTTGGACCATGTCTGACATCGCTTACTCTTAACCTTAATCCCTTTAACCCTTCCATTGGCATGTTTTCAGACAAATTATGACCCCAGTGGTAGGTTTTTTCAGTGTGAATATTTGAAACTAGCTATGGTCGAGCCTTTGGCACTCCATTATCTAGGATAGTGATTAAATCATTAAATCACTTTTGAGGTGGCAAAAACTTAGAGAGATTTTTATCAAAATCATTACTCCAATGATTTCTTGTGTGCCCCTTTTTGTTAGAGCAGAAAATAAATCTTGAAATACTTCCTTTCCATTGTTCACCCTGAGAAGACATATTTCAAAAGCAGGATTTTTTCATTACACAGCTACCCATCAGGTACTTCTGCACCTAGTTTCAACTTTCTATCTCTCTCTATTTCATTGAATCAAAAAAAAGATTCAGGAAAATGCACCTTTTCCAACAAAAAAAAAGGCACCCTTAGAGGTTTTACCTACAAAGTACAATTTTTTTTACTGAAATCAGTACTCGGGGGAACTATATGCCCACCAAGTTTCAACCTTATACATTTGCCATTTCACTGGTGAAAAAATATCTTTGAAAAAGCCAACCCACCCAAAAACTATGTCCTGAGGGGATGCATCATAAAAGCTGAATTTTCCCTGAACTCAACATTGCATCAGTTATGTGTATGGCAAGTTTCACCTTTCTATCTCTGTGCAATTCTCTAGGACAAAAAATAATTATTTAAAAACATCTCCCCAAAATTGTGCCCCCCTCCAGGGCATGTCTCTCCCAAGTTGGATTTTTCCTGAAAAATTACCAGTAAAGAATTACAGATGAAAACTTCCTTATTGTTGACATTTGTTCATTATTTTATAATAAGGTTCCTTTAGAATTGCTTGAGTGTTCATGAAAATATTTTAACTCAACTTAAACTGTTTGTGTTGTTCTTTCTTAATTTTCCAATAAAATAAATTGGACCTGGGGAGATAGAAATCTTCTGAATAAATGGACTGCAAAGGGTTAATAAAGTAGCCCATTTCTCTGACCTCATGAGGTCACAGTGTCAGGAGGGAGGAGGGTGGGGAGTCACCACAATATAGGGTTACATGGGGTAATATGCTTTCCAGAAGCCTGTAGAAGGGTAGAGCCACCATATGCACTCCTAGGTAGGGGCAATCAGTTAGAACTCAAAGACATTCCTTGCCATGCTTCTGATTGTCCTGTAATATGTTTTCAAATGGCATAAATCTATTCCTAATCCATACATGCAGGTGGAGAAATCAAGAATAATATCTATTAAGAAAAATAGGCCAGAGAGTTTGTGGCCTCAAGGCCACTGTGCAACATATGGACCGCCATACACCCAGTGGATTGTGTCCAATGATTGGTAGAATCCTACAAATCCAACCTACATCTAGGCTGGAATTGATGGTCTTCTCCACAGTATTGCAATTTTAGCTGCAATTAAACATGCTTTCATTTACAATCCTTTTCGCTCACTTTTGACAAGAAGCCTTTGATAAGTTTCTGCAATGCGTTTTGCTTCAATAGGTATAACATCAACATACCTTTAGGCACTCCAATAGGTGATCATTATCTTCTTGGCTGCAGTAACGTTTGATCATGTGCTTGCAGTCTGTCACCAAGGCAAAATCCAATTGATTATCAGCCATAGCTATGGCATCAGCTTTGAAAATTTCCTGCTGGCACAATTTCGTCAAAAACTTCCTGTTCTCTCTCAGACATTCAAGAACCTAAAACACGATTCCCAGAATAGAGCAAGCGTAAGAACAGTAAGAACAGACATCCAAGAAAAGCGCAAGGACCAGGAGGTTTTCAAACCTTTCCTTCAGTGTGTGCAACATCCTTGCAATAATGATCAATGTCAGTTTGACAACTTTGCTGAAGAAAAGGGTTCAGTCGAATGTCTGACTGCTGCTGGAGGAGTTGAGATCTCAGCTCATCTAGGCATTTATGACCAAGTTCTGGCTTCTTGCCCTCAATAGCTGCTTGCCATATCTTTCCGCTCAGACAAGCCACTATCTCTGCTCTAAATGAAAAATGCATGCAAAACTTCCTTGTAATACTTGCAATTGCAACTTACCAACTTTGATGAAAAATTACATAGTCTATGCAAGGAAAAGTACATTATCAGAGTTTACTGACTTGTGCCTGGTACTAGAATGCTGCATCAGATCTGGACAGAGCAGCATGACATCATGATCACATGATTCCTTGAACTTTGGACTGAAACTGTAGTCCTTCAGTGAGATGAGTTGGAAATGCTCAATGGTTGCCAGACACTTGGGAGATGTTCGAACTTCAAACTCTCTCTTGTGGGCAATAAGGCATTCCAGAACATCTCCATTTTCAGAATCCTCATCTAAGTAATCCTGGAAGGAGACAAAAATGAATTTGTGTTTCTTTGAATAGCCAAAACATGAGTTAAGTAGCCTACACATCTCAGGACATAAAAAAAATATTGAAACAAATACAGTTGTGATATTACTAGGTTTCTCCTAATGGGCTCCTATACCTGTGCATGGTACATTTGAAACAGCATTTAGTTTTTCATAACTGCTAATAGCACAGTGTGAAAAGAGAGGACACTATTATACTTTTCAAAACAAAGTCTAATATGATGAAACCAAGGAATATGATAACTGAGATACTAAAAATTAAAAGTTGAAAACAAATGTTATTTTTCAGCTCAATTTTCTAAGTTATGAAGTGAAGATGAAGTCAAAATCAAGTTGATTTCACAGCACAAAATAACTTACCCTGAAATCAAGGAACATGTTAGCTCTTTGCTAGAAATGCCAACATTGATTGCAAGCAACAACTAAAATTGAATTAAACCAGGGAAGGCTTATGTCTAGAAGTTTGACACTGAAGGCACCCAAAAAAAAAAATCAAAATGCTATCTCACCTCACAATACCTATTTATGATATCATCACAGTGCAAAGTGAGGGATGGATTCAATTCCCTGTGTTCCACCTCCTCAATGGTGAAGTTCTTCACAGCAATGCGACATTTTTCCTCCAAGCTACAAAACCAAAAATCATAAAAACCCTGTGAGAACTGATGAATACATAACTAGTGCATAACTACACCAATTTTCAATAGTAAAAAAAAAGTATGAGGCAAAGCACTCACAATTCTAGGTTATCCTGCAAACATTCCATCTCATCTCCCTCTTCTATATCTGAGGAACACTTTGATGCTAGATCAGGGAGGCACTGCTCTTCAACCTCTGGGTTTAGATCCACAGATAAGGCTCTCTGTCGCATGACCCTTTTCACCTCTGGTGCACATTTCTTATCAAGCTTTTCTCAGGAAGGAAATATTCTGCTGAGGATTCCTACATAAATTAAACTAGCATCTTGTAAAAATTGACCAAGGTATTACCTTCTTCTCCTTGGTTGGATGATAGGCAACATGATACAAGCAAGACAGAGTGACCAAGCCTCGCTCAGGATCAGTAGTCTTAGTCACTTCAGCCCAATCTTTCTTCGCATTGCAGAACTTTTCTGCATTGTTGTGACAATACTTGTAAAGCTGGGCATCCAATGAGAAGTCTCGAGCAACAAAATACATCAGGCGCAACAATGCTGCTTTACATGCAGGCTCCATATGCGGGGAGTTCAGCTTAGTCATGAGGCACTGAATGACTCTGAAAAATCAAAGAGAATTATATTGCAGGCAGAAGCAAAACAAAAATGTCAGAAAACGCAATTCTAGACACTCAGGCTAAGGCACACTTGTTTGAACATAACATCTGCTTTGCATGACAGCAACTACTGAATTGTTCCACGTCAGATCGACCAGAGATTTTGGTCGACCATCACCGATTTCGCTGAAATTTGGTGAGGAGGTAGCGTTTGGTCCAAAAGCGGGAAATCCAAAATATTTTTTTTTTTCTGACCAAAAGTGGGTCCGTAGCGAGGTCGCAAAATTTTGACCTTTTTTAGCTGGTCAGGCTGACCTCTATCGGACTTTCTTCAATAACTCCTTAGCTATTTGTCATAGAATGTTCATTTAGGACTCCTTTTAAAGGTCTCTTTTGACCCTATATTGTTTATTTATTTCAAGCTTATATTCTCATATACTAAAAAAAATATTTTTTAGTTTCCGCAAACTGGAAACTGGGAAGTATATTTTTTATATATTACAAATTTAAAGTGGTTTAAATGTTCCATTGTGCTCTTATTATACCATTACTTCGAGCGTTTAAAAGTTGAGGATGTTTTGCCCCAGTCTCGAGATATGTGTCAAATTGTGCTTTACATATTCCGTTTTTGAGTGCATTAATTACCGAAAGGATCAACATCGAATTGATTTGTTGCCCAAGCATTATATACGTGGCTGACTTGTGGTGCAGGAATAGATTGAATCAGCAGCTCTACACCACGAGAATAATATGGTAATGAAGCTCGCAAATTTTCAAGAGGATGTTTTGCCCCAGTCTCGAGATATGTGTCAAATTGTGCTTTACATATTCCGTTTTTGAGTGCATTAATTACCGAAAGGATCAACACCGAATTGATTTGTTGCTCCGACAGTATCGATTAGGCCAATCTACATCATATTGCCTTAATTATACGTCAATATAGTTCATATAACTTCAGGTTCGGTTTTTCAACCAGCCATCAGACATGTACAAAATATCCTTAATAAAATACTGTTTTCCAGGCTTCGGAATAATCTTATTTTCCATTGTGGAGGAAAAATTAAATTTTGCATGAACTCGTATTTATGTATTTCCAGCATCATGGGAAGCATCTTTAGACATATCAGAACGCTGCTCGAAGAAAAATGTCGTGATATAAGTTGGAACAAAGGATATCAATATTTCAATCCAATTTTAGGATTACAGAAGCATTGTGAGGCTTGACAACACTGGGATAAATATATGATGGACCCGAAAACCGAATGTCTGGTCCTCATGGTCATCCTACAGTGAGTCAGGGAACGAGAAGGGAACGTCGATAAGGAGCACCTTTAGAAAAGCTGGGTTCATCGGGTCAGAGAGCGAGTTTGCATGAGTCAGTGAGTCTGATCCAGCTATGGAATACGGTCGCTGATCTTTGATCTTTCTGATCTTTCTGGTCCCGGTGGCCGCCATTGACAAGGTCAAAAGCGCTTTGAACCCTCAGCAAGGTCATAAACGTCTGACCCCGGGTGAGCAGCCCAGCCTTGCTACACCTTTAATCCACAAAGGAACCATTAAATTTGACACATCTTCCATTCTGAAGGGAGAGTGTGACTTCCCCTTTGACCCCGCTGCCAGACAATGGCGTGCCGCTCCAGGGGATAGGGCGGCGCATCATACTGGAATGCAAAAAGAAAGGGCTTCTCGACATGAAGAAAAAGAGACCTTTAAAAGGAGTCCTAAATGAACATTCTATGACAAATAGCTAAGGAGTTATTGAAGAAAGTCCAATAGAGGTCAGCCTGACCAGCTAAAAAAGGTCAAAATTTTGCGACCTCGCTACAGACCCACTTTTGGTCAGAAAAAAAATATATTTTGGATTTCCCGCTTTTGGACCAAACGCTACCTCCTCACCAAATTTCAGCGAAATCGGTGATGGTCGACCTAGAAATCACGGGAAAATTGGTCGATCTGACATGGAATCACCCCGAATACTTCCTTTGGCTTACACACTGGAGAAATTAAGAAAGAAAAAAATCCCATACCGGCCTTCTCCAGGCTGTACAGAAGAGCAACTGCTGTCTACAACTCTCTGGCATGATTCTTCCAGTATGGGATCTACTCGCCAATCCTCAGATGCATCTGTCACTTTGAGTAGATCTTCAACCTATAGAGCCAAATTTGAGCATAAGAATAGTTCAACCAATCATACTAATCAATTAAAACCTAGTTCATCACAGTCATTGTGAGGCTTTCATATGTGTTCTTAAATATTTAAGCTATGATTGTGCATGCAAGAACTGCTGATTAGATTTTCAAAACAACAATTAAACATTAAATAATATTTTGCTACCTGAAGACAAGAAAATATTGAAAGATATTCCATATACAAGTACCTCTCTCAGTACTGATTTATATACAATTTTTACTGCATAAGTTCATACACCTATAACAATTTTGGGGGGGAGTGCACTTTTGGAAGCCTTTCACTCAAATAAAACTGGTATATACATGAAGCTAAATTTGAAAGTCAGGCTTTTCTCAGGATATTGGTTTTCATAAAAACACAACTTTGATGAACTTCCTTTCAGGACACATCTTTTGAGGAGTGAAACATTTTTAGAAATTTGTTTACCCCAATGAAACAGACAAATATAGAATGGTGAAATTTAATGCTCAATTAGTTGTATTTATAAACATTTCATTAAATGTTTTTCTTTAACCCTTTGGCTTTGTGTTAATAGTCCCCTAAGGTTTTTAAATACCAGACTCCATTGAGGTAAAGATATATCACTCCAAGGCATATTTTTTTTTAGAGAGATGCTATTTGGAAATCTTTTCACTATATTGCAGCAAACAAATTTAGAAAACTAATTAGGTAAACAAGTAGTTCTCTGGATACTAATATTTTAGTAACATTTTTACTTATGAGGCTTATCTTCTCTGAGTGTATTTTTTTGGAGAGAGAATTTTCTTCAGAAGACATTTTTCCTGTAGCAAAACCTTGAGAAAATATAATGCTATTTTTTGATAATCCTGTAGTTCTTGGAGCTCTAACTTCATTACATTTTCATTTTCTATTTTTGAGGTACATCCTCTATGTAAATTTTTTTTTATCAAGCACACAACTTTCAAATAATTTTTGTTCCCATGAAACTGAGAAATATGGAAGCCTGAAACTTGGGGCACAGAAACATGTTGAGATGCACATTTACAGAAGAATCATCAGCTAAGGATTTCTGTTCTTGCTTGTTTGCTAATGATGTCATACAGCAGGAAAGTAACTTTATAGGAGAATATGAAGGACTTATAACCCAATGAATTTTCACATGTTGGTCATGATCGGATCTTCAAAGGAACTAATCATTTTCTTAGATCATCAAGTGCCAAGGGTGCAGCCATAATGAGTTTGTTAGCCTGAAGTGCAAACAAACTTGCTGGTAATAAATAAGTCTAGTTGATGCAGATATGGCTGGTGACTCGAAAAATTTCCCACAGAATTCTAAAAAACCCCATGTATAACAATGAAACATTATGCACCTCATTGGACACGTGTCAGCCACTAAAAGACTAAGAAATTATGACATAACATCTTATATTCATGGAATGAGGAAAATACTCTTCATGGTGTAAATCCTTACATTGTGGGGTTGGTTATGTTAGCAGGGTATGCAACTCTAACATCTCACTCCATTAGAGCAGGTAGGTGAAGATATGAGAATCTGTGATATAAGAGTTTAATGGCAACAGAAATGGTAAGGAAACTGTCCTCACTACTCTACCTGTCTTATGCATTGGGGCCCAACAGTGTAGCCCCCCGTTCCACTGAAATTCTGGTGAGAGGGCACTGCATGGTCCATTAGGCAAGATAGGATACTGCCATCTATTGAATGTGAGTTGCAGAAGTTTTCAATCTCTTCCGAGCATGCAGCCAGTAGATCTGGAGTGAGGTTTTTATCTTCTAATAACATGCGACGATGAAGAGCCATTTCTGCTTCACATTCTCCTGCTACATGTTTCCCTTGATGAAGAGAGATGATAGTTGATACACTAAGCATGAAATGTCTTGGAACCTCAGGCATTTCCTAAGAGAACATACCTTTAAGTGTTGCACCCTCCAAGCAAATAAGAATTTGTGCCAACTTGATCTCTCGGTTAGAAGATGTTCCTCGACGGCACTGATTATTCCTGATGTCCTGTCGACATGCCTTCACCAGACCATGGCTGATTTTATAGTCCTGCATGATGAGTTTCTCCCTCAGGAATAGCTTTTCCTTACACTGAAAGGAGGCCATGATTGCATGAGCAACTAAGGACTTTTCCATTTTGGAAACATTTCACAATGAAACTCACAAGTCAGCCTACAACAGATTCATGAATGCTGTTTTGCTTTTCTCAAATGAGAACATGCATTTTCGATATTGCATTAGATGGCTTTCAAAATATATTAATGTGATAATCAAAATTTAAAATTTTTTTTAATAGCTCCATGTCAACAAGTCTTCATGACAGAACATATCACCATCAATTCATAATATAACATACCTTGAGCAAAGTGAACACCAATTTTTTTTTTAATACTGGGGACTCAATGCAACCATTTTTTTTTAAATCAAATCACAGGTATTTTGAGTAAATTTTTAGCATTTATGAAACCTGAGAAATGAAGTTGTAGACAAGAAAAGCACATTTTTAATGTTAACTCTGCAAAAATGTTCCAATGCAGTGCCTTTCTCAAAATGCAACCTCGCAAACTCTTATTCCTACTCTGGGAGTTACTGTTGGCCTATTTTTTGACATCACTCTCTGTCAATGAGCTCAGGCCTAGAAAATGAACAACATATGCAATGCTACAGACAGCAGACCAGATAAAGCAGCAAATTTTTTTTCAAGCCAGACCTGGAGACAGTTAAAACATTTCATGGTGCACTTTCAAGTTTGCTCAATCCTTGCAGTATACCAAACCAAATTTTACCAAATTTCCAAATTTGTTTATAAAAAGTAGAAAAAATGTGGGACATATTTATGAAAGGCCCAATACATGTATGCACACTACATTGCCAAAAGTACTGGGTCAAAGGGTGATATAACAAGCAACTATCATTTCGTGTTCAAACTCTGTTAGCTCCAATCCATGTGCTATACTTGCAAACACAGACTGTAACGAATTGCAGACAAGTTATATACTTTAGGAATACAATAATGCCTTCTACCATATGACCTCTGGGACAATCTGTTGCTGGTGGGGGCTTGTCCCAATACTTTTGGCAATATAGTGTATATTGCTAGAAGTGCTCCCACCAGGGAGCACTCAACTTTTTTTGGGATCAGGATATTTATTTAAGTGGAGTCAAGAGAATCATGACTTCACGACATCCTTCATAAGCTGGGTCAGGAGGAAAGGGAAGAAAGAGGAAGTCTCCAGGTCGAACCAGGAGAGTTAGCAACCCTTGACCACAGGTAGATCCTACCTACATGAGCATCTTTGATTTAGAAGTCAAAGACACACTAAGCTGAAGCTCACTGGGAACATGCATGCAAAATGCACCTCCCACAACCTGACAATGTTGGCATCAACATTGACATCAGCAGCCTGGCTGTTATAAATATTTTGATGAGCCCCACAGACTCATGAGTTTTGAAAATCTGAATCCCAAATATAAAATATGACTTAGGGCCACACTGACAATTAAACATGAACCCTCCCTTGAATCTAACCATACCTTCTTACTCCATGGACAGGTTAGTGTTACTCACAGGGAGGTGACCAGCCATGTACATAGTGGCCAGAATGTTTTGTCACCCCTGCAGCAATTTCTACAAAGTCCTCTATTATTTCCTTCTTTCTTATTCAGGTTAGTTAAACGTAATCAAGAGTGATGCATGCAATTTCACCATTTAACAGTGTATTGTTGCTAGTGTCTGAATTCACAAAGGCCCACAAGCAGGGAAGACCATGGAAGAAGTTAGTGGCAACTTCAAGTAATGATTCAGCCAAGAAGCTCCTTCAAAAAAAGAGTCTTTTGCAAAGTGAGCATAAACTCTTCCTAACAGGTGACAAAAAATAAGCCAAGATCAGGAAGGCTGGGTAACAAGACATTGTGGTCTCCCTCATTTTGTTGAATTGTTGCTGGAAAACATTGCAAACTTCTTCCATGGTGTTCTTTGTTTTCAGAGTTTCATGCACACAGACACTGGCAACAATACCTTATTCAATAGTGCAATTGCTCGTATCACTCATAATCGTGTTCCATTAACCTGAAAAAAGGAAAGTAAAGAAGACTTATAGAAATAGCTGCAGGGATGACAACATTCTGGTCACCCTGTAGATTTTGTCAGCTAAGTCACTTGGCATAAATCCACATGGCCATATAAAAATTGAAACCCTCAAACATCTTTCAAAGGAGTATACATTAAATTTTGAGAAAGGAACAATAAGCTAGTTTTAAGAGATGGAACACAATTTTGACCCAGGTACTCCAAATCCTGCAAAAATGAGTCCTCATCAGCAAAGAAAACAGCTAATGAGTTATTAAAAACATAGCGTTGGCATGATCTTTGAAATAATACAGGTGAGTACAATTAAAGAAAAAATATGAATGGCTAAGGCAAAAAGTTGATAACATGAGAAACAAAAAACTGCATGATAGCATACCTCATCTGACATTCCTTTCTTGTTCTTGTTCCTGAGTAAACAAGTGTAAACTCGCCCTTCACCAGCATGGACATCAGCACAGAATTTCTCCCTATCTTCTCGGCATGCAAAGTACAATGGCCTATCAAGATGGAAATCATCAGACTGCAGCTCTGCAATCCGAAGAATTTCATGCTGACAATTGTTGGATAGATCTTCAAAGTGTTGACTCAAGCATGAAATGGTTCTCCCTTGACTATGCAAAGCCTGCAAAAGAAACATAAAAACAAAATTTATAGAAAAACCATTTCAAATCTAATTTAAAAAATGAAGATGTATATATTGCGTATGCATGAGGAAGCCATATGAGAAGCATAGCTTTGCAACTATGTTCATTGTTTTGTCCCACATCTCCATTGAAACTTAAGTTAGCTGACAAAAATATGAAAACTCACATTTTCATCAAAGTTCATCCGTCCACATTTGAGTTTCTCAATATCATTCTGACAGGAATCTGTAAACTTTTGGATCATATTATAATCGGAGAAGATGATGGTAGCAACTTTTCCCAAAAACTGATGGCACTTGAAGCTTGTGATGTTGAACTTGTGCTCAAGGAGACAGGATATAAAGTTGTCTTTGTTCTCAGGTTTGCAGGGCACTTTTTCAAGATCCCCCTTGCAAAGGTCCAGAGCTGCATCTTGAAAGCGATCACTGTGTGTGAGGTCGTGCTTGTACTTCCATATCAGCTAAAGAATAGAAAATAACATTTTGTCATGTTATTGCATTTCACTGCAATAGGTCAAGCCAAGCCAAGCTAAGCCATGTCATATGGCTCCAAGGGTACATGGAAGACAATGAGGCATAATACTCACTATCTTTTAATAAAAGGGTGGTTCAAGAGAAACCTGGACTTTCCATCACATAACTGGTAGCAATGCATGGGATTGCATGACAATTTAAAAATAGTTTTAATTGTCACAAAAGTTCTGCATGGCACCACTGTCTCTGACTTCACATTACATCCAAGCTGGTGACTGCCTGTATCTGTGTGGCAATGGATAGCACTTTTCACCACTGCTTGATCATAATCACATGTGATGGTGCCATCCTCACTATCCTCTACTTTCATTACAGAGTATGAGTAGCATTAACTCATTACTCCATCCCTCTCAGTTTTTGCTCATTACATCCAATACTTTTCAAAGGGAATTATGATTCATTTTCAAATGAATCACCCAGTATAAAACCCTTCATTTGGCCAAAATTTAATTAGAATTGCCCTTAAAATTTACTTAGAATTTTCAGCTCATTACAACAAATTTTACGCAATGATAGAAAAGCTAATAGATATGTGTGTAAGCACTTTAAAAATGTATTACAGCAACCAGAGTTCACTGGATATGAGAGCTACAGTAATTATTTTACAATTGGTTTCACCCTTCTACCTCCTTCTGCAAAGTGCCACATTTCTTGCAACTTGAGCAACACTAGTCTTCTCAAAATGACTGACCTACATCAAATAAGTAACAGGCAGTAACCAAGTAGTTCCCACTTCCACCACATTAGGTGAGGTATGAATTCAATCAAAAATCACTGTGGGCCTATGCTACATGTGATAGGCTAATAAGATCTACACCTCAGGGTGTTCCAAAGTGAAGGAAGACCTTGACTGTAGGATGGTATGAAAACAGAAAGATCATATAAAAACTGTCTGGGCTCACATTTTGACACTCTTCACTGAGAAAACTCTGGGAATCCTGAAATAAACAAATAAAAACATTCTGTTAAGACAGGCTCAAAGGAATTCTAACTGGTTATGGCTAAGTGCATACATCCTAGGGATATTGTGTTGTTCCTAAAGTTAGACCAGGTTAGGTTGGGCTGGTGTATATTATAAATAAAAGGAATACTAATGAATGTGGCATGTTTCCAGTTGAATTCATCTAGAAACATTGGAGACTGGGGGAGTGCAGCTTCTCTAGGGCAGGGGTCGGGAACCTTTTTGGCCATGTGAGCCACATTAAGATTGAGCTAAATTCTTGTGAGTGAAAGATTTTCAAAACGGAATTTTTCCTGAAGTTGGCAACATACATATGCATTCTTTGCACTTTTCGGCTCGTGTGCCAAATTTGGCTCATGAGCCATAGCTTCCCAACCCCTGCTCTAGGGGGTATGCACTTAACCTCTGGCATCAAACTAGACCCACGGCTTACTCTAAAGTTACATATAAGTCGAGTTTTCCTCTAGAGAAGAACGGTCAAGTAAGAGCTACGCTAAGGCTGGAACATCAAGCCAGCCTTATTAAATGTTGCTTATCATAGGCCTAGGCCCCTACAAGCCTTGAAAATAGGTATACAGAAATCGGACTAGCAACATCGAGTCTAACCAAACTTCTCATAAGCCTAGAAGACTCTATCTAACCTGAGAATTCTGGAGACATTCCAAGACGTTGAGATTGTTGGAAACCTGGTCTTTGCAGATTTTTCTCACATCTTCAGCACACTCTGGTTGCTCAGCAATCAGAGTCTTCTTGTTCCCTAGTTGGCTGCCCTTTTCGGCCCCAGAAGCTCTCCGGACAGAGAATAAAGTAACCACGAACAAGACTAACAGTCTCATAACGACGGATGTTTCTATTACAGATAACGTAGACCCTTATAGCTGGAGACTTCGTAACCTGATCTTCGTAGTCGCATCGGCCAAATCAACTGATTCCAACAATGGGGGCAGCCATAATTATCTGATCAATGTATACGTGTCCAGTCGTCTGCTACTATGTTTTTCACTTGATTTGGACAAGCAGTCCAGTGTTTTTGCGCTGAAACCTCATGAAGTTGTAAACATTCTGCAGCTCGTCTACACAGCTGAATTTTTCCCTTATTGATACAGGTCTCAGGTGATCTCATTACAACTAAAACTTCAGTACGACGCAAATATTTTTTTAAGAGTCGGCCATGTTCCTGAGAAGTTAGAAATCTGAAACTTGGTACGCAATTAGCTATTGAGATGTAGAGTTAATATTTAAAAAATCCGACTTTGGAGATACATGTCCTGGGGGCACCCAATTAGGAGGGAGATGTTTCAAAGATATATATTTGTTTCAGCCAAACGGAGAGACACGGAAAGCCGAACCTTGGCATAGACGTGCCTATTGAGACACTAAATCCAGGAAAAATGTCAAATTTCAGATGCATGCCCTGGGGGCATATTTTTGGGTTGACGTTTTCAAGTAATTTTTTTTTGTCCTAGTGAATTGGGCAGAAATAGAAAGGTGAAACTTAGCTCATACATAACTGTGGTGATGTTGAATGCCGAAAAATTCAACTTTAGTGGTGCATAACCTTAGGGCAGAGTTTTTTGGCTGGGTCGGCTTTTCCAAATATATTTTTGCACCAGCTAAAAGAGGAAACGGATATGGCTGAAACTTGGTAGGCACGTAGTTTTCTGAGTACTAATTTCAATTAAAAAATATTAATTTGTTGGTGAAACCCCTGAGGGCACTTTTTTATGGCAAAATTTCCGAATCTTATTGATACAATGAAAAAGAGAGATGAAGTAAGTTCAAACTTTGAGCAGAAGTACCTATTCGATTGCTGAGTGCAAATCTGACTTTTCAAATATGTCCCCTCATGGCAGAGGTAGTAGTAATATATAGTATACAGGCTATTAGTAATATACAGGGTGGCCACGAAGTGGATCAGTTTGGTCAACAGGTTGTCTGACGGCTCCATTCTTTTACAAGTTTTACAGATTATGAATGACTAAAGCCCATACATCCTACAATATTGAAAATTCTCTTGGGGCCTCCGTGCGAATGCACAAACAAACCAGGACCAACTATAAGGTGCTGGGCATCAGACATACTTTTCAGGAACGTCGCACCAAGTTCACAGCAGCTGAAGGCTGCTGTGGCTGCCGCTATGGCAGATGTTATACCTGACAAGCTGTGGGAAATGAATATCTTGAAGAACATGGAGATGCTTCCAGGTGAGTTTGAAATGTGGTGGCGACCATACAAATATGACTGAAAATTGCTAAAATGAATTTTTAGTTATTTATTTATTGCACCAAGGTGGAGGTAGAGAAGGAGATCACAATAGAGGTCAATAGAGATCACAATAGGACAATCATGAAGGAGCAGATAGGGTTGAAAATCACACATGTGCGGTAGCAGTTATTCACTGCTATCCCATGCTTTGAGGGATTTTGTGTTCCCTGGACATTGTAATAGATGGTAGAGATGGGATGCACATCCACTACATAAGGAGCAAATGCAGTCAAATCAAAATTGCTAAAATGATCCCCCATTTCATGACTATCCAGGACTCGTCAGAACGAAATTTTCGTTGTAGCGAGATTTGATCTGTATTCGCAATTATTAATCTTTGCCTTCCATATATCTTTAACGTGGAGAAAATAATCACTCTTACGCTCTTTTGGCGCGTAGATCGACCCTACGAGACTCTAATGAGTCTCGTCTAATGAGTCTAATCGAGTCTAATGAGCGGAGAACCTTTCCAGTGCCTTCTTCCGATCGCTGAGACCATAGCTTATATATGCACTCTCGTTTGAGGATGTGAGGAGGCCTTTCTCAACGCTTGCTTGCAAATTGAACGGACCATCTTTCCTACGAAGCTTTCGAATGATGGACAAGAACAATGCTCCCACCACTTCGATTGAACTTACAAAACATGTTCCATGAATTGTTGAGGGGCTGAACCTCTTCTGCCCTTCTGCCAATTTATTTTATTGGTATTTTATCTGTTTATTTATTTATATTTACGGAAAATTTTATTATTTATTTATTGATATTTACTTATTTCTTTCCAATTTATTTTTATTTTTACATTTTTTATATTTTTTTGTGGTGGGGGTGGGAGGGCGGGGGACGGGATTAACAGGGGGGACGCACGGGACCCCTGTGCCCCCCGTGAATCGCCGCCTACGGACGCAGCTGTGAACGAGGTCCTATCAGCCTTACCCGGAGAACCCTAGAAAGCTAGTTCAGACTGATCGTATCGAGAAAGGAGAGTTCCTTGAAAAAGTGTAAAACATCTGCTCATATGATGGCGTAATATTTACGTTGAAGTGCAAGTGCACGGACTGAGTTCCCCAGGTAACCTCTTTTTGAAGCAAGTCACGATAGAGCAGCAGCCATTAAATCTCCTAACGTGTTTTTTTCTTCGCATTCACTACCCTATAAGTGAAGAAGTCATTCCGCAACTTCAAACTCACTTGGGGTTTACGCAACTTAAACTGGTTCCCCTTCTTGTCCTGCTGCAACTGTCAAGTTGGTAAAACCCATCATGTTTCACGTTATTGATGTCCTTCATGATCCTAAACACAGGAATGAGGTCCTCCTTCGTCACCTTTCTCTCGACCGAATAGAGTCCCGGCGCTTCTGAACGTCTCTCGCACGGAAGTCCTCGCACCTCCTTTGTCATGCTCGTAGCCCGTCTCTGCATCTGCATCTTGAAATAATCGACCAATCGAAGAGGACATCCACTAAATTCTGTACATGAAGGTTCTGGATAATTACGATCCATGGGTTAATAGTTTAATATCCATATTCTAAAATGACCATTAGTTTCACTGTACACAGAAATAATCATTCTTGATTATAGTTCATTTTAAATAATTTAAAAAAGACTGACTATATGCTGCTTAGAGTGTGGAGCTGATGTCTGACATATTTGACACATCCAGTATCGCAGCATCTTCATTAAATTTTTGAATGAACTAAATGCGAGGTGTTCAAAATGGCAACTACTTGTATCGAACCAGTCTTGGTTATGGACTTGGTCCTTTTTGCACACATCCCGTCCAACTGTGTAGCATAAAATGGAAAGAAACGAATTGAACCTATTCTCACGCTTGGGCCACAGAATGATTACTGGTGGGATGCAGAGGGTGCTTACAATGATTTTTTTTAGGAGTCCTTTCCGGTGCAAAATGTTAAGAAACGAGTGAGACGAAGCCCCCAAAATGCAGAAAGCAAGACTCGCGAAGACGCGAGGCATGGAAAAGCAGGCGGGGGTCGTGTCCTCCCTTTCGAGGAATTTGCATGCCGACCTTACTACATCCTCATCGTTGCTCCTCGGCACGTTGCAGAGCCGTTTTCGTCATAACAATTTGACCTTAGTGACCTCGGGTTACTTTATGATAATTTAGCCTGCCACCCGTGTCACTGCAAGAATGCATTCTGAACTGCCTTGACAGTCATATTCGTGGGAACGAGTTTCAACCACCCATTGTACAGGTGAAATTGAAATTTGAGAAAATTAAAAAATATTTAAATTTGAAATGAAACACTTTTCAAGGAAAAAAATATGAAACCTGAAAATTTTAGGAATGAAGCTTCAAATTAAAACTGCATCCATCTTTACTGTCTAAAAGGTTTTAAGCCTATTCAAAGATAGTGTGATAGACTCAGGAATAGCCGACAAAAGACATGCAATGTTGCCTTAATTTTCTTATATAGCTAATTTTGTGTGGTATTTCTTTTCGTAAGGAAATCCAGCAAGCAAATTTTGCTTTTTGAGTATGGTCACAATCGGGACGGAAATTTTTGTTGATCGGTTGAGAAATAAAGCACGAAATTAGGGAAAAGTTCGGCGAGAGCGGAAATGGCTTCTCAGCGAGGGCGTGGCACCGTGTGAGTTTCCATGCTTTATGTCTTCCCCGAGCTTCCTTCGCGGTTTTTTTTTTGGGGGGGGGGGACGTGATTTCTTCTCGATTCTTCCTGTTTGACTTCTTTGGAGCCTCTGTTTCCAGTTGATCACCCATTTGTGCATTCTTTCAGGAAGTACACAAGGCGATTCAAAAGTAAATGAGTCATGAAGGACCTGGCAAGGTTTACAGGCGGGTCCAGCTTTATTTGATCATATTTGAATCAGAATATTATATGTTTTTACGACTTTTTCAAGAAAGTATACACCATGCTCCATCTCATGTCCTTGATTTTGAAGAATAGCCCTGCACCTTAGTTTATACTCTGTTAGAATTTTACGTAGCACAGGAATATACTATTTCTCCCATACCACTCTGATAACTTTCCGAAGTCGACCCAAAGTTTTGCGGGCGCCGATTCTCAAGGGTCTTCAGTTACCCAAACGGGTATAAATTCAAACCCTGTTTGAATCAAGAAAACCCTGTTTTCGGTCGTAAATAAATAGGTTCTTTCCACAGACAGAAAGGTACGATCTAGTTTCATCGAGCGTCAAAACATATTTGTACCTTCCACCCGCCAGGTGGCGATAGCATAATTTTCGGGTTTGCGTATTTCGTATTCCAATGCATTTTGGGTTGAGGACATGGATTTGTGTTATCCTTTCATTTGGAGATCGTCTTGAATGCCCCTGCTGATCGTCACCTTGGACACCGGCAGTCGACATGCAAGTAATCTCTTGCTGGGTGGATTCCCCATTTTCGCGAAATGAGTCACTTAAGGCAGAAGCTATTAATACTTGTTACGGACTGGTCTTTGGTCAGGCTTTATGTCTCAAATTCACGCCTTCCTTCGCTTCTCGCCACTTTCCATTGCAAATCATGATGCTTGAGGCTGTTCCTTTGGAAACGCGCCATCCTTTCAAGAAACACTTACGAATTATCATTTTGTGTGAGTAACCTCTCATGAAAAAAGTGTTTGACGCACATCTCCTCGACAAAGTGAGCAGTCATTAAACGCCAACGCGATGGCCCCTAATTTCGCATAACAAAAGTTCAC